AAGAACAGTCGAACTGTTTGGTCCATCACCAGCAGAAGTAAAGGCCAACACTTGAAATTCATATCCAGTGAATTTATCAAGCATGGTAACTCTTGTTGATGTGTTTCCATTGTCAATAGTCAAGGAAATTTCTGGGCCTGAGTCTTTCTTTTTATAGAACAGTTTAAATCCTTTGATGATTCCATGTCTAGAGTCTTCCCATGGTAGCTGCCATGATGCTGTAATACTAGTTGAAGAGTCCACACTGACAACAAACTGAGAGGGAGGTCGTGAAGGAGCTGCGATTAAGAAGTCGTTTTTTAACTAGTACACATTTATCTTTAATTAATGGACCAGACTAAGTGTCACTTTTTCTAATAGCTAGACAATGTGCATTTGACCGGAAGTTTCAACCTAGAAGTCTTTATCCAGAAATCAGTGCCTTCCTAAGAATGCAGCAAACTCAGATCTGAGACGACGAAGTTGTAAATAAAATAAAATAATGTGCATGCTTGATTAAGATACCTTCACAGGAAAGTGATAATCCTAGTGCAGGTAATAAAATATTTCCAGCGGACAAGAATTATGCTTGCTATCACAAAAATACCACATTGCAAGTTTAAGCAATGTATGCTATCCAGGTTCGACTGTTTGAAAAAAATTTCAAATCTACTAAACCTGATTGCCATAACATAGAAGAAGTTAAAGTAAATTCTGGTATTACTTTCCTTATTCATCGCTTTAAAAAGTGCCAACACCCCACTTGCAGGGTATTCTACTATAGCCTTCATGAAATTGAACAATTGGCCATACGTTGTATCAACTTTAAAAGCCATGCAGATACAGGGGTAGGTGTCTTTCTATAAAACTCAGGAAACCATAAACTGTTACGATAAGTTACGTCACTTGTCACTTTACGTATATTCCTTATTTGGTCATAAATAAATCAGTTGAGATTTACAGAGCTTGCAGCGTGCATACTTTAACATGGTGTCAGGACAAAAATTAATTTTTTGACGATTCGGCAGTTGTTTTCGCAAATTACTCGTCGAAGGTACCTTGCTGAGGCTATTTTCATCTATTGTCCGTAACTTGAAAGAGATTTTCGGACTCAAAGTGTAAAAAAAAAAAACACTCAAGATGCCGTCAGACAACGACCACGTGGAGTCGGGCGCGTACATCGCTGCACCGTCATGGGCAGCCCCAATTTATCCTCAAGTTATCTCACCTAATTCTCCGCTACCAAGTCCTATGAAGTGTCACGGTGACGTTACTGGCAACTGGGACTTTTTCAAGCAGCAATGGTGCGACTAGGAAATAGCAACAGGCCTAGACAAACGAGAAGAATCGGTCCGTTTAGCGACTTTGCGTTCATCAATGGGCAGAGAATGCCTTCAGATATTACTCAACCTAAACCTTTCTGAGGAAGACAAGAAGAAAATAGACAAATGTTTAGAAGCATTGGAAAACTACTTCAAGCTCACCAGAAATTTAGTATACGAACGGTATGTTTTTAATACATGTGTGCAGCAACGCGAAGAAACCATCCAAAGTTATGTCCCACGTTTAAGAAAATTAGCCGCGACCTGTGAATACGGTGCACTTACAGACGAACTTATAAGGGACAGGCTCNCTACCTGGTGTGAAAGTCATCAGAGACGATATTCTTGTTGTTGGCTATGGTGAAAACCACTCAGAAGCCCTTCTTAATCATGATCAGAATGTGGTCCGCCTACTTGAAAGAGCCAAACAAGTACATCTGAAACTCAACAAGAACAAAAGTTAAGCTTCGACAGGCAGAAGTTAAATTCATGGGTCGTGTGATTTCAAGGGATCGACTGAAACCAGATGGGTGGTTACTCAACACCCGGTCCTTAAATTCTACAGCATAGAAGAAGAAGTAACTATTCAGACAGATGCCAGTATTAAAGGCCTTGGCGCAGTCCTTCTTCAAAATGGACAGCTAGTCGCCTTCGCGTTCAGAACTCTCTCCCAATAGAAGAAAGCTATGCGACCATAGAGAAAGAATGTCTAGGAATAGTCTTCGTTTTTGAAAGATTCAATCAATACCAAGCACGCAGAGAGCAGATTTCAGTCAAAACTGACCACAAGCCTCTTGAGTCAATATTCAAGAAGTCTCTATTATCAGCTCCATGCTACCTTCAAAGAATGCTTCTCAGGCTGCAACGATTCAACTTGACCGTTAAGTACAAGCCCGGATCCCAAATGCTCTTAGCCGACCATTTGTCTAGAGCCGCACAACATGAAACTTTTGAGCCAGAAGAATCTTTTCAAGTATTTTCCTTAGAGCTGGAGAGCCTTGACCCTATGCAAACCCTGAAGGTCATGCCAGAACGATTGGATAAATTGCAACGTAGCACAAGTCATGATGACACTCTGCAGACACTAAAAACCACAATTCTGACCGGATGGCCAATGCAGAAAGATCAGGTACCAATCCAGATATGGGAGTACTGGTCTTACTGCGATGAGCTATCATTTCACAATGGTGTTCTTTTCAAAGGCTCGAGAGTAGTCATCCCTAAGCTACTGAAACCTGAAGTGAAATCCAGAATTCATTCCAGCCATTTAGGAGTAGAAGTTTCCCTGCGCAAAGCTAGAGACGCTGTATTCTGGCCTGGTATGAATGCAGAAGTGAGTGACCTCATCAAACAATGTTCAATTTGCAAAAAATTTGAAGTCAAGAATCAGAAGCTTCCAATGCAAAGCCATGAGCTTCCTGACCGCCCGTGGGGTCGAGTAGCTGCTAACCAGTTCAAACTTAATGGCAAAGAATACATAGTGCTCGTTGACTACTACTCAGATTTCCTAGAAGTACAGAGATTGGAGGAAAACACTTCTGGTTCCGTGATTGAATTTTTTAAGGAACAATTCAGCTGACATGGCATTCCAGACACGCTAACTACTGACAACGCTCCTCAGTTTACAAGCCACGAGTTCCGTAAGTTTTCAGTTGGTTGGGAGTTCACTCACGTGTCCTCTTCACCACATCATCACAAATCCAACGGAAAGGCAGAGTCTGCTGTGAAAATTGTCAAGTCCTTTTTCAGAAAAGCTCCCAAAGACAACAAAGACCACGTATGATGCACGATCCTCGCAGTAGATAGCGCTATTTAAGCAATAGCGAAAATCAGACCTGAAAAAAATCAGGCCTGTACGGGATTCGAACCACTGACCTCTGCGATACTAGTGCAGCGCTCTACCAATTGAGCTAACAAGCCAACTGGGAGCAGGCCGTTAAGTTGATTCGTAATAAACCCGTGAAAGTGATAAATCAGATACAATGAAATATATGAAGTTCATATATTTTGAACTGCGGTATTAGATACGTATGATGCACGATCCTCGCAGTAGATAGCGCTATTTAAGCAATAGCGAAAATCAGACCTGAAAAAAATCAGGCCTGTACGGGATTCGAACCACTGACCTCTGCGATACTAGTGCAGCGCTCTACCAATTGAGCTAACAAGCCAACTGGGAGCAGGCCGTTAAGTTGATTCGTAATAAACCCGTGAAAGTGATAAATCAGATACAATGAAATATATGAAGTTCATATATTTTGAACTGCGGTATTAGATACGTATGATGCACGATCCTCGCAGTAGATAGCGCTATTTAAGCAATAGCGAAAATCAGACCTGAAAAAAATCAGGCCTGTACGGGATTCGAACCACTGACCTCTGCGATACTAGTGCAGCGCTCTACCAATTGAGCTAACAAGCCAACTGGGAGCAGGCCGTTAAGTTGATTCGTAATAAACCCGTGAAAGTGATAAATCAGATACAATGAAATATATGAAGTTCATATATTTTGAACTGCGGTATTAAATACGTATGATGCACGATCCTTCGCAGTAGATAGCGCTATTTATGCAATAGCGAAAATCAGACCTGAAAAAAATCAGGCCTGTACGGGATTCGAACCACTGACCTCTGCGATACTAGTGCAGCGCTCTACCAATTGAGCTAACAAGCCAACTGGGAGCAGGCCGTTAAGTTGATTCGTAATAAACCCGTGAAAGTGATAAATCAGATACAATGAAATATATGAAGTTCATATATTTTGAACTGCGGTATTAGATACGTATGATGCACGATCCTCGCAGTAGATAGCGCTATTTAAGCAATAGCGAAAATCAGACCTGAAAAAAATCAGGCCTGTACGGGATTCGAACCACTGACCTCTGCGATACTAGTGCAGCGCTCTACCAATTGAGCTAACAAGCCAACTGGGAGCAGGCCGTTAAGTTGATTCGTAATAAACCCGTGAAAGTGATAAATCAGATACAATGAAATATATGAAGTTCATATATTTTGAACTGCGGTATTAGATACGTATGATGCACGATCCTCGCAGTAGATAGCGCTATTTAAGCAATAGCGAAAATCAGACCTGAAAAAAATCAGGCCTGTACGGGATTCGAACCACTGACCTCTGCGATACTAGTGCAGCGCTCTACCAATTGAGCTAACAAGCCAACTGGGAGCAGGCCGTTAAGTTGATTCGTAATAAACCCGTGAAAGTGATAAATCAGATACAATGAAATATATGAAGTTCATATATTTTGAACTGCGGTATTAAATACGTATGATGCACGATCCTTCGCAGTAGATAGCGCTATTTATGCAATAGCGAAAATCAGACCTGAAAAAAATCAGGCCTGTACGGGATTCGAACCACTGACCTCTGCGATACTAGTGCAGCGCTCTACCAATTGAGCTAACAAGCCAACTGGGAGCAGGCCGTTAAGTTGATTCGTAATAAACCCGTGAAAGTGATAAATCAGATACAATGAAATATATGAAGTTCATATATTTTGAACTGCGGTATTAGATACGTATGATGCACGATCCTCGCAGTAGATAGCGCTATTTAAGCAATAGCGAAAATCAGACCTGAAAAAAATCAGGCA